ATTAGAGCATCAGGCCTATTGGGCCATCAAAAAGTTCAACTTCGATCTAACCCAAGCTAAACCCCACTGAGCTCTACAATTAAGTGAGCTGGAAGGACTTCGCAATGAAGCCTATGAAAACTCTCGCATTTATAAAGTCAAAATGAAAGCGTTTCATAATAAAAACATCTCTCGAAAAACATTTGAACCTGGTCAAAAAGTTTGGCTCTTTAATTCTAGGCTACGGTTGTTTTCAGGGAAATTAAAATGCAGATGAGATGGGTCGTTTGTTTTTGATAAAGTGTTCGAGCATGGTGCGGTTAGAATAGTTGATCCCAAGAATGGAACCATGTTATAGGTTAATGGCCAAAGGCTTAAACCATACATAGAAGGAGTATGTGAGAGTAGAGGAGTTGAGACTTTTAGTCTGGGTGATCCAGTTATGTTCGGCTGAAGACATTAAACTAGCGTTGATTGGGAGGCAACCCAACATAATTTTTAGTTTTCTAATTTTATGATTTAGAGTTTTTTTGTTAATTTTCTTGATTCAAGACCAGGTGGCATACCTAGAAATCCTTAGGAAAACCCTACTCGTTGTTCCCTTTGTCCCAACTATTCTTTGCATCATTTTACTCATGCGATTAGGGGCAATGGCATTTAAGTTGGGGGGTGAGGAAAGAGAGAGAAAAATTGAAAAAAAAATTGTGAAGCTAATCCTTTAAAGATGGAGAATTAAAATTGCATTGAAATTTTTAAAATTTTCCATTAAAAGTGAGTCACAAATAAAAAAAAAATAAGGAAACTGATAAAAGAATATTGAATTTTGTAGAAATTGGTAGCAAGTGATAGGAGTAAAAAAATTAGTCTTGTTTGAATATTATCGAAACCATTTAGAAATTAGAATATACTCCCAAGTTTGGCCCTTTCCAGATAGGAAGAGAAAGATTGAGAAATTAGAAAAAATTCTTCAAATTGTTAAGAGACTGTGAACTACCCTGAATAGTGTTGCAAAAAAAAAAAAAAAAAA